CTAGCTAATCTTATCGCCGTGTTACAAATAAGCTATTTTGTTTGTCAGGTACAGCTTGTGCATATGTTAAAAAATAAAACAACTTCATCATTTCATACATTCATCACTATCAAATATCAGCACTAGAATTAATAAATTAAAAACTGTTGAATACTTACTTTTAACTGTTGTCACACTATAATGTGATCGACAATCTCACTCCATATGAGTTCTTGAGAATTTATTTGAAAATAACAAACAAAATAACACAATGGCAACTATTTAGTTGTGAATTCACTAGTACCTTTTTACTTGTTGAATTGTGATTTCATTTCGCATGACATATTTCCTATAGCTGTCAGATTTGATGTTGCCACATAACTAACATAAATACAACAAAACGATATCGATTTGTATTCGATTAGTAATTTAATGAAAAAATATAATATTTGAGTTTCGCTTTCAGTTCTACACGCTTTTTAAAATATATTTTCTTTTATTTTTTTAAATTATGTTTTAAACGTATTTTTAAGAACAGTTAAAATGTGGAGTAGCGTATTGTTATGCTCTAAACAGTTCATGGTAAATCAGCTAAAAATTCACTTGTTTAATTATCATAACATGATTCCATTTTAAATGTATTGTTAAAACAGATAACAATAACAGTTAAATTGTGCAGTAGCATTTTATTGTACTCCAAAGAATTCATAGTAAATCAGCTAGTAATTCGCTTGTTTAATTATCATAACATCATAATATCCATAGCGATTCGATTATTATTCGATTAATAATTTCATAAAAAGAGAATAATCTTGGAGGTGTTTTAACTTCTGCTCGCTTTTTAAAATGTATCTTCCTTTTTTATTTAAATTCTATTTTAAGTGTATTTTTAAGAACAGTTAATTGTGCAGTAGTGTTTTATGAAGCTCTAAAAAATTCATGGTATATCAGCTAGAAATTCACTTGTTTAATTATCGTAACATGATTTCATTTTAAATGTATTGTTAAGAAAAGATAAGAATAACAGTTATATTGTGCAGTAGCGTTATGTTATACTGCATAGAATTCATTGTAAATCAGCTATTAAATCGCTTATTTAATTATCATAACTACAGATGTGAAGGCGGTTGTTAACGTTTTCAACCAAGCCGATAACAACGGTTGTTTTTGTCTTGAAATTGATAAAAATTGTGCAGTTGCGTTTTGTTAAGCTTTAACCTTTTGAGCGCCACGCCAAAAACGCATTACCGTGTCCTGTACGCCAAAGCGCCAAAACAAAATAGTGTTGCCAAGAGTTGATATATCGATAACGTGAAATAACTTGTTTTTGTTGGTTTTTTATGCTATAAATGACTCTTAATAAACTGTATGTTTTATTTAATCTTGTGCCGTCTTCCACTCTTGTTATATATGTACTTTTTACATATAAACATAAATAAAAAACAAACAATAACAATAAAATAGTAGTAAACATTAGCACTACTCTCCATCCTAATGACGACACTGTCGCGACTGGACGACAACGGCGTAGCTGACCTTCCCTTTTGAAACATTCTTAGAATGTTGTGTATCGATTTCAAAATCGATCTAACCGAAATATACAGACATCGATTCATAATATTTTATGTGTCGAGGAAGGCGTAGGCCAAGTGACGCACAGAAGAAGTCTTACACTCTTATGACAATGGGGATTTGATATGATGCTGATGCTGCTAGATGATTTTGAGACTGAGAAAGAAAATGGCACAACACAAAATGAAAAATTGCTCTTCACACCCTAAGTAAAAAAAACATGAATTGTAATTTTGTATTATTATTAAAAAAAGGTACATAATTATTCATTAATCAACAATTGTATATAATTATTCGCACTAGGTAAATCAGCCTTATAATACTAAAATCTTGGTCATGGAATAAATAAACATATTTGTTCACCAATCAATCAAAAATTCAATTCATCAATCAAAAATCAAAATTCATCATCATCGACGCTTTCCAAAATCCGAATGAGTTCTGAGGAATCGTTCATGTTGCATTGCTCTACTTTTCTCGGTAATCACTTATGACGTCATCAGGGTGTCGTCTATCCTTGATCACGGTGCCCAGTGAACTGATTTTCGATGACGCGCTAAAGATGCGCTAGAGTTGAGATATTAGATTTATTATGCGAAGATAATCTGATAACATTTTTTTATTCATGTAGCTAATTATAGTTTTATGTTTATAACCTTTAATTTTATTCAAGTATCAATAATAATAGAAAAAAAAAACACCATTGAGCTGAATTTTGGATAGTTTTCAAGAAATCTATGCCTCCCGCGTTTGACACTAGCGGTCAACCATAGACGACTTTGGCGTGCTGGACATAGTATTTGCTTAGATAAAAATCCATTTTTATTAGTTCAATGTTTCTTAGTACTTGTGGCTCTAGAAGACTTGTTTTTTATACTCACATGTTGCTGGGTTATTCCTATTTTGAGGAGTGTAGAATTAAAATACCTGTAATAATTTTCCAATATCTATATTTCATATTTTTCGGAGCCGGGTTTTTTGTCAACTATAGACGTCGTTGGCGCTCAGGGCCCGCAGGTGTTGGTCAAGTATAGGCGACTTTGCCGCTCAAAAGGTTAAAGGATTCATGGTAAATCAGCTGGAAACTAACTTGTTTCGTTATCATAACATGATTCTATTTTAAATGTGTTGTTATAAACAGATAAGAATAACTTAACCGATCTTCTTTAAAAACAGATAAGAATAACAGTTCTTATCTGTTTTCAAAGAAGATCGGTTAAGATTAACAGTTAAATTGTGCCGTAGCATTTGTTACTCTCTAAAGAATTCATTAGAAATCAGCTAATAATTCGCTTGTTTAATTATCGTAACATCATAATTATTTAAAAATTATATTAGCACTGTAATGATGACACCGTAAATAATCGATCGAAAAAGAGAATCGATTTTTTAAATGTGTTTTGTGATTGGCAACACTTTTTTTTATTCACAAACTAATGACATAATGATTTACCTAATTTTTATTATTATGTTTCCGGTACTTTTAATTTGTGCAAAAATATTCCCATTGTTTGAGGATAAATGAATACCGCGATTAATAACCATAAATAAAGATATAATTTTTTACCGCTCATGGCCGAAAATGGGCGTCCCCCTTTATGTTTGTAAACTGCCCCCACGATACAGGAGAAAATCCTAGTATGGAGGTAACATTTAAAAAGAAATTATATCATGGGTGGTGACCGTTCATAATCGTTAATATTAATTCCTACTACCTAGTAAAGTTAAGTACCGCTACAAATCCAAAGGCTTTTCGTCCATATCAATTTAAAATGGGAATTGTGTTCGATAAGACGGTCACAAAGGTTCTCGAGGTCAGAGTTGAAGCCAAATCCACTGTTGGAATTAATCGCAAAACTTTATACAGAACTTGTGCTGACACAGATAAGTGCTTCTACAAATTAGCCTTAAGCAACTTTGTAAAAAGAGATGGTGATATTTTAAACGCCGTTTTGTACTTATGACAGTAGATTAATTGCTTTAGTTAAGACAAGAAAATTTCTGCAGTATTCGTCCTTTAGTAATTAATTATATTTTGAGTTATTGTAATTTCAACCGTTTATTGATACTGCTATTTCTCATGTACTTATTTATCGAATTTCAACCCATTTATTTTGTATAATTATTGGCTATGTGGTGGTGATCTAAGAGTATCCACTAGTCCACTACCCCATGGGTGCACCGTACCCTGGTGCGCCGTAGAATAAAGAGGGGTGCTGTGAGGCGCTCCTATTTGCCATTCTCCGAAAACTAAACGGTGTTCGTGGGTAAAAAATAAACTTTCAGCCGTAGCTGTAAATAAAGAGCAAATATCACTGAAAGATCAATGTGGATCAAGAAATGGGAGTAGCGGTGTCAAGCCTTATTCCACGCTTTGAAAAAATTTATGGAGATTACCAAGCTCACATATTACATTGACTAAGTTGCCAATGCATTTCATTTCCTATTTTTCTTAGATAATAAATACATTCTTGTGTGTCAACATAAATGTAAAAACTCAGCTTGATATAAATTAAGCTAAAATTGTGTGAAACTATGACAAATACACACCCTATGAGGCAATCTACGGGAGGCCTATGTTCAGCAGTGAACTGTTGATAGGTTGTAATGGTACTTTATAAAAAAAGCGGTCTAGGTGTGACCCGAAAGGTCCACATGACTAACTTCCCAGTGGAAAGAATTAAAAAATATCATATGTTTTAACATTTTATACAATTTTTCATTCGGCACAAAAAACGACTTGACCGATTTTGCTCAAAATTTAATGAGGTCTAAGTTACATAATTATGCGTTTAATGAAACTAATCCCATGTCGATATCCCTCTTTGTTCTCGAGATACACGAGGCGAAAATTGAATCCGAACATACATACATACATACGTACATGTGCATACACTGATATCCTCTCAAAAACCATACTATTCGACTCTAAAGACCTTGAAATGTGGAGATATGTTAAAATTTCCAATTTGCAAAATCGGAACCATTACAATTACTTCCCACTGGGAAGTTAAAAAAAACGAATACACTGTGCTGTCCCTCTAAGTAAATGCTACGGTTCAAAGACATCTTTTGAATTAAGAATCAATATGGAAATGCGTTGTAAGCCCTTAAGCCTAAAATGGAATTCCTCTTTAGTAGGGGAGAGGAAGTTTAGGAGAGTGAAAAAGGTCTTCAGTTCTTCACAATCAACATCACAAAACATGCAGCTATTCTTGCTTATACTCTGAGAGTTTTGTCCTTCCTTGGTCTCCCAATAAAACTGCAGCTATAATTAAACTGCAGAGTGGCTTCCACGTAAAAATATTTTTGTATAGTTAAAAATTACTAATAACAAATACTTGTTCTTAAAACATATGTATATTCCAAGTGTTTACGTCGAAACCAACTTTTACTTTACTTTTTTTTTCAGTCTTTCGCTGGCATTGGCGCGTGCCGTATGTGTCAACATGCTGCTCGTACGATCTCCTAACTCTGACGAAGTTACGTGTAGAAGTAACGTAATATGTAGTGAATTGAGATGTAATAAGTGCAAAGTGATAATCAATGAATTGTTGGCCTTTGTTAGTAACAAGGTCGACACACTGCAAGAAACAGGAATTATACAAATTTGTATGAGTGCCTACTCTGCCGATGAAATTGAGAACGCAAGATCAGTTGCCTATAAGCTACTGGCGCCTACGAAGATGTACATGAGAAGAAAGGAGGGGGCTGAGCAAAAAAGCATTCAAGATATCATAAAACTTATAAAAGAGTTTGACCCTGACTGCCTGCCAATCTTCGCAGCAACAAACTTAAACAAACTTTCGGCTGTATCATTTGATCACGTCGATGTGACAACTTTTTTTAAAGAAATGACTTTACTTAAGAGAGACGTAGCCTGTTTGAAGGCTGAACAACCTGTGATAAGCAATGAAGTTAAATTATCGGAGGATATTGATTTAATACGGAAGGAGATTGATGATGTCAAAAAAATTATGTTGGAATTCCGCCATGGCAGCAGTAAACGACAAGACGATCTGTTTCTTGGGTCTTATCATAATGATAAGAACACTAGTAACAAGTTAAATAATAGTTACGAGAATACTAACAATTTAAATGGGGGTATCGTTGAGATTGATATCGACATGCCCCGAACGGACGTAAACAAACCAAGTGAGGGAGAAAGTACGTGCACGAGCTCTCTCTCTCTTTTGCGCATACGCCGTTGCCGGTAACGTTATTGCAGAAACAGAATAATCCACAGAGTACTTTGAATAATCAGAAAGAATAATCCTATTAGTGACACTGACACGCATTGTGTACCTACCTATAGAGATATAGCAAACACGATTCGCACGGAATTGAGTAAACGAAAAGATGACGAAGGTTTTACGATTGTTACTAAAAAGAGACATGTATACAGGTATAGAAACGAGCGAGGTACTTTACAAAACGCGAATAAATTACAGGCTGCGGAATCATTTGCGTATGTCTATCTCTCACAAACGAAAAAGCACATAAATGAAAATGATATTAGAGACCATATAAAAGAAATGAAGGAAGAATGTATTGACATAGAAATGTTGAAACAGACACGAGAAACTCATTTTAATTCTTTCAAGATAACTGTCCTAACATCCAAAATTAACAATTTCATACAAAAAAGTTTTTGGCCAGAGGGTTAGTCTTTTGAAGATACCGCGTTCCACCAGCGTTCTATTATGGGCGATACAGTAGTGTCTAATAAATAACTATGGATGCAGAAAATAAAAATAATTTAAGATTACTTTCGTTTAACTGTAAATCAATTAAGAGGTCTGTACAGCACGTTCGTGATTTGTGTGAGATAGCAGATGTCATTGCTCTTCAAGACACATGGCTGATGCCACATGACTTGGATTTCTTGAATCAAATTAACCAGGAATTTAGCTACTATGCTAAATCCTCTTTGGATACGTCAGTAGGTGTGCTGCGCGGGAGACCCTACGGTGGGACAGCGCTGCTATGGCGTACGAGTCTGTTTACCAAAACGGAAATCGTGCAGTGTGATAATGACCGGATAGTGGCGATGCGATTAGATCAAGGTGATCATAGCCTTCTTGTATTTAGCGTATATATGCCTAGTGATTGTGAGGATAACCTATCAGAGTTTATTCAGTGTCTTGCGAATATAAGTGCAGTGATTGAGAGTGCTGAGGTTGAATGCGTTTTGATTTTAGGCGATTATAACGCGCATCCGGGTACTCATTTTGGTAAGGAGCTGGTGGACTATTGTGGTGAGCAGTCATCAACATGCATAGATTTAGAGAGACTAGATTACAACACATACACAATTGTGAGTGAGGCACACGGCACATGTCGGTGGCTTGATCACTTTATTGCTACTGCTGCTGCAGCCAGGATGGTAACCGATCTATATGTGAAGTATGACTCATTTTGGTCGGACCATGTACCTCTAGTTATTAATTGTAACCTTAGTTTTATTACAGTTAAAGAAATTCACTATGAGTCGAACCTAAAAAATAATACAAGGGTTTTAGGGGGGCAAATAGGGAGTTTTTTTTCCTCGCCTGATTTAAGATCTTAGCGCTTCCTCGAATGTCCTTTTTAGTTGATATTTTGACACACGTAGGAATGAGATTATGGTCTCGGCATCTCTTCAAGAAATTTAAGGCCGTTAGATATCTTGCGCGCTTGGTCTTTAGATCTTCTAATATTTTATTTGCAATTACCAGTCCGTACTCGTTTACATAATGATTTCTTATATTTACGCGCGCCAATTACCGTACGAAGAAATTATCTGTAGTGTCGAGGACTGTTTATTTAAAAACAATATGCGGAAAGAAGATTTGGAGGCGATACGTCAAGACATTTCGTCTATGTTACGTCGATGTTCAGTGCCTAAACCGAATCTTCCCAAAGACGAATTTATAGCGTTAAAGAACCTACGCAATAAACCAGAACTTACGATTCTCCGCGCAGATAAGGGAAACGCCACGGTAGTCATGGATACGTCAGATTATAATTCTAAAATACAAGAACTTTTGTCGGATGTAAGTACTTATAAAAAAGGTTATAAACGACCCAACAAATAGCACACTAAAACAACTAGTGACCTCATAAAGAAACACTCCGAAAAATTAAATCTGGACGTAAAATGGATAATACCTACGTGCGCCAAATCACCAAAATTGTATGGGTTACCAAAAATACACAAGCCCAATGCTCCATTACGTCCCATAGTGAGCCAAATCGATTCACCAACTTACAGATTGGCTCAACACTTAGCGAAAATACTCTAACCGCTCAGGGGACATACAAGAGCCCACATAAAGGATTCCTACCATTTTGTCAGTGAGATTAAAGACCTACATCTGGCAGACAATGAAACTATGGTCAGTTTTGATGTGCAGTCATTGTTTACATGCTTACCTGTTGAAGACTGCATCTCAATTGTAACTAGAAGGCTGGAAGAAAACAACATGCCCGTAGAATATGCAGTATTACTCAGACACTGCCTTACATCTGGCTACCTATTGTGGAAGGTGGAGTTCTACAAGCAAGTAGATGGTGTGGCGATGGGCTCACCTGTATCTTCCATTGTCGCCGACATATTCATGGAAGACTTTGAGAAGAAAGCCCTGCTTAGTTCTCCCATAAATCTAAGATTCTACAAGCGGTAAGTAGACGACACTTTCACAATTCTACCTTTAGACAAAGTAACTGCATTTTTAGACTATCTTAACTCTATAAATTCTAAAATTCAGTTCACAATGGAGTTAGAGGCAAACAATTCCTTAGCTTTTCTAGATGTGTTAGTAATTCGGAATCCTGATAACACCTTGAGCCATACTGTGTATAGAAAAAAGACCCATACAGATAGATATTTAAACGGTGATTCTCACCACCATCCTTCACAGTTAGCTACCGTGGGTAAATCTTTGTTTCAGAGAGCACGAGGGATCTATGACAGTAAACACCTGGCTGCAGAGCTCCACCATGTCAAGCAAGTTTTGCATGACAACAAGCTTCGAGTTCCGCGCCTAAATCACAGTGAACGAGTGAAGCCGGCCACAGTCGAGCGTGTACCTGCTGTACTGCCATATGTTAGAGGAGTCACTGACAAGATTGGCTACATCTTGAAGCGCGCTTCCATCAAAACATACTTCAAGCCGCTGAAGAAGATTGGTCAGTTTTTACCATCAGTCAAGTGTAATGTCCCTCTGCAAGATGCAGGAGTGTACAAGCTTGATTGTGAATGTGGTCTCTCCTACATAGGACAAACTAAAAGATCAATAAAAACCTGCGTTAAAGAACATAAAGGTGATGTGAAGAATCGACGCTCCGGGAAGTCTGCAGTCTGTGAACACGTACAGGATCGCTCCCGTCACTACATCAGATTTGATAGACCGCAAATCCTCGCTAAAGAACACAGATTCCTTCCAAGGATGATTCGCGAGGCTATTGAAATCAAAAAACATCATAATTTCAATAGAGAAGATGGCTGGGTGCTACCATCTGCTTGGGATCCTATAATAAATAAAATTAAATCCCAACCCAAGCATACAACTGCAAGACTTCAAGATACCATAAGTTCATACTGCATAGATCGGAACAAAAGTTAAATTTTAATCTATGGTAACCGCGGTTAACTATGACATATGGACGTTGAACATCTCAGTCCCGCCCGTGACCATGAGTGCTGTAAAGCGTTCGAAACGTCGGGTATTTAAAAAGTTAAATATACGCGATAAATTCCGTAAAAACTAGTATTATTTCAATGGGCATAGGGAGCTTGAACAAAGAAAAATGTATTCAAAAATCTGTGATGAAAAACTTTATGAGATAATGAGTAATTATAAAAATGTAAACATGGAATGTATGGATGTAAAACATTCGTGTGTCATTGTAAATATATTGACGATTTATATTGTGACATTGTAAGTGTCTTGCAAGTAGCAGCTGAGCGTAGCTTTTATATGAATGATATAAGAAAAGGTCAAAGGATTGTGGGGTGGAATTTTCACGTCAGGCATACCCATGTCAAGGCCAGAGAAAGTTTTTTAATGTGGAATGAATATGGTAGGCCATCTTCGGGCTATTTTTACGAAAATATGGCTGCCTCGCGTAGAGAGTTTAAGGCCGCGCTTAAGTACGTTCAAAATAATCAGGACAAAATAAAAATGAAAGTGTTGGCCCGACATCGAAATGCTGGTAACTTTAATGAATTTTGGAGAGAAATAAAAAAGTTAGAACATAAAAATATTTGCCGTTACGTGTGGATTGAGAAAGAGTAAAAAAATATAGCGAATTTATTTAGAAATCAGTTTAATCTTGTACAAAATAAATCTAATTATAATTGTAAGGCTAGGACATGTCAGGGATCCGAAACTCACCATGTAACAGTTACGCCGAAACAGTTAGAGTCACTTTTGACTAACATGAAGCGGGCTAAGTCTCCGGGTCATGACGGTCTTAGTATAGAGCATCTGTTATATGCGGGCCAGCATATCTGTGAGGTGTTAGCGCACTTTTTCAATCTCTGTGTTAGACATTGTTATATACCTGAGGAACTTTTTCGTACGGTGGTTGTTCCTATTATGAAAAATAAAACCGGGGATATCTCGAGCTCGGCAAACTATAGGCCTATTTCTTTGGCCACTATAGTGGCCAAGGTATTTGAACGAGTATTACAGTTATACTTAAATTCCATAAATTACGATGATGGGCAGTTTCGTTTTCGTCCGAATGTATCAACAGATATGGCTATATTTTCTCTAAAGCAAGTTATAGGGTATTATAAACAGCGTAATACTACTGTATACGCTTGTTTTCTTGATTTAAGTCGTGCCTTTGATACAATTAGTCATGAAATACTTTGGAAAAAGCTCCATGACACTAGCACAGGTGTCCCGGCTGAGGTTGTTGATCTCCTAGCATTCTGGTACGGTAATCAGACCAACAACTTTAGGTGGGGTTGTGAAATATCGGATTGCTATAAGCTTTCTTGTGGCGTGAGACAGGGGGGTGTTACCTCGCCTGATCTTTTTAATACTTATATTAATGATTTAATCGTGGAGCTGAGCAGATCCCCGGTAGGGCTCAGACTGGATGACAGATATGTTAACAGCCTGAGCTATGCTGACGATATGGTGCTGCTCAGTCCTTCGATTAAAGGCTTGAAAAAAATAATTGAAATCTGTGAAAGATATGCGAAAGAACATAACTTGACTTA